TGAACACTCCTGTTTGTCACTTATCAAAAAATCTGTGTTTTTAAATTAAATTAATTTTTAAAAAAGGATAACGGAATATGTTGAAAAACTATGTACATGGTGTATCAAAAAAAAAAAAAACAAGTGTATATGATTTTCATATAAAAACATTTTTTTGCAAAAAATAATTACTTTGCTGTATCAATAAATAACTTTTGCAGGAAATTTTATTATTCATGAGTAAGCAAAAACATATTGGATATCTCATCTATAGACTCAGCATAAATGCCAAGGAAATAATGAAAAAAAGGGAAAAACGTGATGAAACGATGCAGTTCCAAATTTGGTATAATGGAAATAGTTGGAATCTTTCTGCATCCATGTTTCTTCAAATTAGGCTCACAAGTCACATCATCCTATAAAATTAGTGATGAAATAGTATTGTACAATTAGAGAAAACTAATAAAAAAACCTATTCATTTTTTTCCCAGTAAAGGTGTGCCCACCATTTTGAATTATTTATTGACGTAAAATATTTATGAGTGTAATTTTACCGCTATATTAAAAATGAAGCACTCAAACTTAAAGAGAGCTAATATTGTTCACTCAGGAAAAAGAAAAGCCTCAAAATTCGGATACTAACCCACGCAATCATCTCCCATCATCTAATCTTTTTTTTCCTGGAAACATTGAATCAGAAGATCGCTCCCCAATTTCATCCCTGGCCACCCCAAACTCATCCATGGCCCCGCAATCATCATGTAATCAGATACCATGTAATTTCTTGCAACAGATCTTCTCTTTTTATTAGAGTCAGAAGCTGGTCTGTTTAGGTCCTTTTAATTTTTTTAAATATTTTTTAATGTATTTATTTGTTGTTAGTGTTATTGATTTTTTTTTCACATATCTAATGATATTGCGAATATTTAGACAATAATTTGATTTATGTTATATTTTTTAATATTTTTAAATTATAAACATTTCATAAGAAAGTATTTTTATACTTATATAACTTGTGATTTTATTTGAATTGAAAATTTATGAGTTTCTAACAATAATGTATCTTAAACATAAGTAAAATGATAATTAGACCGTAAAACTTGAAAATAAAACTTATTTGAAAAAGAAAACCTTGATATTTTTTTCATTAAAAAAGAGCCTACTCATAGTGAGCTACAATCAATCAAATATTGTTGATATTGAAGATAGTGATAGAAATCATGTTGATAATGTTACTATTGTTTAGTGTTTAGTCGGTGCTTTGTACGATTTATTCAACTTTGGACAATAGCTTATCAATGTTTAACACAACAACTTGGTTTAGTTTTGAAAATTTGAACAACCGTTTAACATTTTGTTTTGTTCATATCATTGGCTTGATACAAGAATTTTATGAAATTTATTATCTTACTTCTGTTCATATCAAAATATTTAAAAAAATATTAAACAAGCCTAAAAGCTTACGGGCCTGCCCAAGCTTAAGGGTTGGGCTTTGCAAAACGACTACTTTTTGACATGCAGCTTAAGCAGGCTAGCTTGTTTTTCTGATGCTATCTTTTATGCCCATCCACTCGTTATCACCTTATAGTAATTCTCTAATATTAAATAAGTTGTTATTTCTTTTTTATCTTGTTATTTTTTTTCTATTTCTTCTTGCCACCCTTATTTTTTTCTATATTTATCATATTATATATATGTATGTGCTTGAACAGATATTTAGAAGATATTTGAATTGGCTTTTTAAAAATAATTTTATAGTATATAATATTTGCAAGGTTCATTCACAGAGGGTGAGTTGGGGCCTAAGATTAGGCCAAAAGGCATAGTCGATGAAGAACAGGTGAATATTGAAAAGACCCCTTCTTAATACAAAATTATAAAACCATTTTTTTAAAATGATAACCATGGTAGAAAAAGAATTGAGTTAGAGTGTTAAAATACTATCATGGTTATAAAGAGTTTGTCTTATTCTGAAAACATCCCAAGAGGCTCCGGATACACAAAACACCCATGGGTTTAACAACACGTAGAACAAGGACTTAGGGCACAGTAACTACCTACAAGCCCAACATAAACATTCATCCCACAAAACTTAGGATATAAGAAACACAGGGTGTTCAGCCCAGCCCACAAGTCATACACATAAGAGCAACACAACAAAATCTTATGGCCTCCAGCCATTCTAACAGCACTTCAACAAAATACAGTCATCCAACAACCAAACAAAAAAAAGTATATGTCAAAAAAGACATAGGCCCTAAGATGGAAATATACATAACATTACGTGCCCAAACCAAAAAGAGACTACTAGGCTATGCTCACCTATGCCTCTGGTTGCTTCCCTTCGCGCCGAGCCAAACTAGATGGCTCTCCTGAAAATATTGATAAATAGTGGGGTAAGACATAAAATCTCAATAACCAAGTATTAATTTATGACATATACAAGTAGGATGGCAAGTTGGTGAAGTAGTGCTTAAATATAATTTAAGTAATAAATGATGTTTTAATAGATAAAATCACATGAAAGGAATATATCTCGTCATCCATAGCAAAATTCATACAAAAGTATGCATATGCAACAATACAATGGAATATGCCCTCTTATCACCTTACTCCTCCTTATGACTCCTTGACAAGGACCCAGGCTTTCTATTCTAAGTGCTTGAGTGACCCGACCAAAGGTCACCCTACTCACATCAAGTAACAGGCCCCCTCCTGTACCTACACCGCCCAAGAATGGATTATGGTACAAGAGGTGTCTACCCAATAGTTCATTCTTAGCTCTGAGTCAAGGAAAAAGAAGAACTACAGGGGTCTAACAAAAATGCCAAACACTGAGATCCGTAGTGTCGGCATGCCGCGCAGGCTTCAAGAACAATTATCCTCCACATAACAAAATCACAATCTTCACATATGAACCCCATGCATAGTCACAATATAAATTAAAAATATTATAATTCTTAACATTAAGATGATATAATTTCAAGAAAGTACAACATATTTTCATTTTATTTAATAACATAATATCAGTATATTAAATTGAACACCACAAGAAAATATCATTTCCAGTAAAACACAATTCAAGCATAATTAAATCAACATACTTCCCACTTCACTAAAATTTGTCATATGAGAAAATACACACTTTATTCTTAGGCATACTTTCACAAATTAATTTGAGAAAAATAAAAACATAATAAACACCTTACAATCCAAAACATGTATATAAAATAAATTAACCCTATTACTCTAAGCTTAACCTCACAGCTTGAGAAATAAGAGCACAAATTACAAAGTCTGAAGTACAGAATAATCTACAAATAATGTAGATATAATTTAATATACATACAAATAATTACTTAAATTACATAGAATTTATTATTATTGATATTTATATATATTTACTACCCAAAAATTCTTACTTCAAATAACAATTTTCCTCTACCCAAATAACTCATTTAAATTATAAATATTTATAAAAATATTGTTTTTATCTAATATTGTAGAAGTCTCAATTTATAACTTAAGTTTCCAGCTTCAAAATTTTTCTAATAATATATACTCAACCTATTTTACATTTTAACTGATTAAAATAACCCAAATAAGTTATTTAACTTAAATTTAATCGGTAAAAACATTCTATATTTCGTGAATAATACATTTTCCAACTAAAATCTTAATTTGAAGTTTTTAAAAGAATCAATGAATAAATATAAACCGATTAAAATTTTAATAATATACCAAACAACCCAAATAAATTATTTAACTTAATTTTAATCGGTATAAATATGATATATATCATAAATGACAGATTTTTCAACAAATAAATTTAATTTTAAATACCAAAAGTAATAAATGGACAAATATAAACCAATTAAATTTCTTAATAATATATCTTTAAATTTCTACGGTCAAATATTTTCAAAACTCAATATTTATTCTATACTTAAATCACAAAATTTTCTCTAAACATTGTAATAATACTACTAATATAAAGCTCTAAATATGTAGAAAATATTCATAAAAAAATTTAATAGAAAGAAGTGTTTTTATGTACTTAAATAATCTCCCAAAACTTGTGTTACTCTTTAAAATGCCAACACCTCTCAACTTCTTTCTCGTTTTCTCTTTCTCTGATCCGTGTTCTCTCTCTCTCTCTCTCCCCCCCATTTGGCATAACACTCACTTTTCTATTTATCCTTCAAATATTCCGGATTGGGGGCGTGTTGTTTTTTTTTTTCCTTTCCCAAAATATTAATAAATTATTATTTAATAATAATAAAATATTATATAATATATTATTTTTTATTTTGGATGTTAAAAATATTCCGGAAGCGAAGGATGGTTACCAATTCTAAGACAATGCAAAAAAAGGTAGAAAAACTCCTTGACAGAAGAATTTTGTCTCGTGAGAAAATATTTTTTAAAAGATAAATGTAGGGTTGCCCAACTCTCCTTGTATCTTCACGTGTAACAAGGTAACCGATCATTTTCTATGCATAATGTCGTGATGGAATTTCAGTCCACGAGGGAGGCATGATTCTTCGAAGCTAGGTAATAATGTTTTTTTAGTACAAAGCTAAATAATATTTAAATATGAGAAAATGAAACAAATAAGGTAAAGTAAAATGTCAGGCTTTTCTTTTTCATTTTGGTACAATTGTTACTTAGGCTTACATTCCTGAGAATGAAAGCTTTTCAATTTACATCTCAGGCCCAAAGAAAATGTAAGGTTTTTTAAATAAATTTTATTTTGATCATGTATATACATAATAAATGATGGATACCATTTATATCACATATCAATTGATTTTTTGTTTTAAAGTAATTTTGAAATGATTTTAAGGGGGAAAAAAAGGAAAGCAAGGTAATTAACATAAAAAATATGTATGTAAAATATATTTTCTTGTCTTTTTTGTTTGGATAAATATTTTTTGTTGTCTGAAGATACTTTTTATTTAATAAAGTACTTGCACCTAGCGCCTAAATTATATATATGTGTGTGTGCGCTTTCACCTTTCATATTATAAATCGTTGCATCTTCACATTCTTATTCTTGTTCAAAGTTGGAAGATCACAGCGTTGTTGGAACTTGGAAGTCCTCCTCTTTCTTCCCACAAAAAAAAAATGGCGAAGCCGGCATCTTTGAAAGTTGTTGAAGTTTGCAGAGTGGCACCGACGCCGGAAACAACCACGTCCGACGCTGCATCGGAGACCTCCTTACCGCTCACGTTTTTCGACCTGCTGTGGGTGAGATTCCCCCCCGTCGAGCGTCTTTTCTTCTACGAATTCCCTCACCCACCTTCCTCCTTCTTCGATTCTCTTCTTCCAAAACTTAAAAACTCCCTCTCTCGCACTCTCCACCACTTTCTTCCTCTCGCCGGCAACGTCATATGGCCACCTCACTCCTCAAAGCCCTTCATCCATTACGTCTCCGGCGACGGCGTCTCTCTCACCATTGCTGAATCCGACGCCGACTTCAACCATCTTTCGGGTTCTGACTTCTCCGAAGCCGAGGAAAGCCGCCGGTTGGTACCCCACTTGGTTGTTTCTGATGAGAAAGCTGCTGTCATGAGTCTGCAAATTACTCTGTTTCCGAACTCTGGGTTCTCTGTTGGAATCGCCACCCACCACGCAACCATGGACGGAAAATCATCAACTTTGTTTATGAAATCATGGGCTTATGTCTGCTCTAATCTGGAAGAATCATCATCGCTTTCATCGATACCTGCGAATCTAAAGCCATCCTTTGACAGGTCAGTGATGATAGATCCGTCTGTAATTGCTGATAGGTTCGCGAATTTTTGGTTAAAGCAAGGCGGACCAGACAACAGAAGCTTGATATCGTGGGACTTGAATAAGACAGATCAAGGAGAGCTCATAAGGGGAACATTTGAATTGCTTCCTTCGAATATTCAGAAACTTAAGAAATCTGCAGAATCCAAGCTGAACAAGAAGGTTCATCTATCAACTTTCGCAGTAACTTGTGCCCATGTGTGGAATTGCTTGGTCAAAGCAGAGCAAACGAAACGAGAGAAAGTGTTGTTCATATTCAGTGTGGATTGTAGATCTCGTCTGGATCCTCCGATTCCATCTTCATATTTTGGCAACTGCATTGGGGCGGCTAAGGCTGAGGCTGAAACGAAGAACATGCTTGGGGATGATGGGTTCATGTTTGCTCTTGAGGCCATAATTGAAGCTTTGAAGAGATTGGAGAATGAAGCGATATTAAGTGTAGCAGAAACATGGATATCTGATATGGAAACTTTTGGACTGACCGAAACTTACAGAACGTTTTCAACTGCAGGATCTCCAAGATTTGAAGTTTATAGTAATGATTTTGGATGGGGAAGGCCCAAGAAGGTGGAGATAGTTTCTATAGACAAGACTGGAGCTTTTGCTCTTTCAGAAAGTAGGAATGGTGATGGAGGTATTGAGATTGGGTTGGTGTTGAAGAAAAGTCAAATGGAAGATTTTTCTGCTCTTTTTGTCAAAGGTCTTTCTGCCTTGTCATCATGCTCTTAAAAGCATTGGTTTAAACGCAAATGGCCTTGTGATCTAACCATCTCACTTGTAACATCAGTTCAGTTTATCTGCCCTTCTATTTTTTTTTCTGTTTTTTGGGAAAAGCATTGGTTTTGCTATTACTTTCAGCTTTGAGGTATTGTAATTTTTGCAGCAGATAAACTTGTGGGTTTGTGTGTTTTGTTGATTTTTTTAATAGCGGCTTATTCTATCTGCAATCCCCTGTCTTTGTCTTTTGTGAGAATCAAATACAGTATCATTGAAAGATTAATTAATAGAATAATGATAAGTATGAAACAATTTGAGAGAGTGATTGGCTGATTGCACATGACTCAACTACTGTGCTATAGGATAGAATAGACGGCACAGTTGCGGGGTCATTGGAAATTTGGAATGGGTTCTATCTCCAAAGATGTTTTATAATAGAGGAAAAGTTCTATTTAGTATCTACGGTAGACAATTAATATTAGTCAATTTCTTAAAATATTTGAAATTTTATTACACTTCCTAGACCAAATTTCAAAAAGACAAAAATACCCTATCTTTATCTTTATAAAAAAATTATAAATCACTAAATTTAAATTGTCGGTCCTTGTGAATTTTATGAGTGAATGAACAAATCAGATTCGACACTTTACAAAAAAATAATGAAATTCATAACCCTAAATATAATTGTTTTGGTGTGAATGGACAACTTGAAATCAGTAATTCACAACAAAAAATTTAAATATAAGGGAATTTATAAGTCTAAAATAAAGTAATATTCATCTTGTCTTTAGTATAGGATCTAATTATTAAATTAATTTTTGTCCTAAATATAAAATATGTTTCTCATAATTATTAATTTTTATAAATTATTTTTATTAATACTTTTTGGATCATGTCAACGGTTTTTTTTTGGGGGGGGGGGGGGTTCCGCGGCGCTGAGTGAAAATGAAGGAGAGTGAAAGTCAAATACCGGCTGGGGCATTTTAGGGTTTAAATGATGAAGAGGCGATGTTGTTTTTGGACTTTCGGCGCTTGTAGAGCAAGCGACGCAGTTTCTGGACTTTTACATCACTTTCTATGCAAGCGATGTTGAATTTGTAAATTTTTTAAAATTTTTTGACTGACTTGGAGACTCATGACGGCGTGAGCACCCAATTTTATCTGGAGCCCCATAAAAAATATTAAATATAAATGAAATTAAATAAAAGAAAAAAAAAGAATAATAAAAGATTGACATCTTCCTAGATTCTTTCTTGGGGGCTAAATTTGAGAAGTCCACCATGTTAAAAAAAAAAAATCCTTCTTAAAATAAATAGCAATAAAATAAAAGGTAAGAATTGAAAGCCAATTTAGAAAATGTGAGGTGGACACATTAAGGAGGAAAATAAGAAAAATCAGAAAATAAAAATAAAAATTTCTCATTTAAGATGATTGACTCCTCAATTTAGAAACATATTTTGAAGTTATGATAGTAGAAAAAATAAAAAACGAAAATTAAAATAAAAAATCACAATTTGATGATGATTTGGTGTTTAAATAGGAAGTTACTTTATGAGTCATAATTAAGAAAAATAAAAAAACGAAAATTAGAGGAAATTTGAAAAATCCTAGTTTGAGCCTATAAATAGGAGAGTGAGGGTTAGAGGAAAAGAAGGAGAATTCTAGAGCAAAAGAGAAGCAAGAGAAAAAGCTTTGTTCTTCATTCTTTTCGTGCGACAAGCCTTAAGGGTACATGCTTCCACCTATTCTCATTTTCTTCTAATGACATATAATTTATCTTGTTTTAATTATTTGATTTCCCCTTTAAGTTTCAAATGTACCAACTGCCTCATTATGCATATTATTTCCACACATATATGCTTCTTGCCATCTCCTCCTTGTTTTATTGTGAATGTAGAGGCTTTCAGTTTATGGGCAATGGGTATTAGTCATTTTCTGTTTTCACCCATTTTTCTTAAACTTTGATGTAAACATCGTTTTACTAATTGAACTAAGAAAAATATGTTCATCAAAGTCAATAAATTAAAAAATGTTTTCTAGAGCCGTGTAAGGTTTTTAGTACCTTCACAGGCTCGAATGATTGCTCTTTCGTGTGAGATTATAGAAGTCTCCGTAAGAAGTGCAATCCTAATCCTTTTTCTCAAAAATGAAATATTTTAAAATAAATTTTTTTAGAGCCATGTGAGGTTTTTAGAACCTCCGCAGGTTTGAATGATTGTGAGATTATAAGAACCCCTACAGGAAGTGTAATCCAAATTTTTCTAAAAAGAATAAATATTTTTGAATAAAAATACAAAAATTGTTTTCGAAAATTAAAAAATGACAACCCACAAAAAATCCTTTTTAAATAATCTAATAAATATTTTTTTTTAAAAGATATCAACCAAATGACATATATTTTTACCCCCGAACTACATGGGTTTTGATTCCTCTAAAGAATACGTAGGCCCTAGGTTTTTAACTTAGGTCAAGTCTAACTTTATAAATAATTTTTTTGTTTTGTAAATAAAAAACTTTTTCTTTGTTTCTATCTTTTTTTAGGGTAATTAAAATATAATTAAAAAGGCCATATTAATTTTGAGTAGTCGACTTAGGGTAACCGTTCTCTTGAACGGGTGTTGTAAGGTGCCTAACACCTTCTCCACACGCAATCGACTCCCGAATCTTATCCGGTTTTCATAGACCATGTTTTTAGGTTTTCAAAATTAACCTTTTAAAATTTTGGTGGCGACTTCTCTTTCTTTTCTTTTTATGGGATGACCAGGATTCGGGCACGACAGTTTGTGTTTTTTTTTCCCTTACAAAAAAGCGACATTGAAAAATTTTGACAAATTGAAAATAATACCATCATCTTTTTTTGACGTCACTTTTGTTAGTAACCGACGTTAGTTGCCAACATTAGGGAAAATCACTAACAGGTCCCACAGAAGGCAATTTATTACTCTGAGGTCCCATGAAATGTCAAAATCACTGACAGGTCCAAAGGGACCTCAGAGTGATATTTTCATTTTGTAAAATGACATTACTGCCCCTCATATTCCAGATTCACATTTGCTCTGTTATTACGATTTACAACCTCAGCAGTGACTATTAACAACTTAATGAGAGGGTGTTAACAACCCTAACAGTATCCGTTAACAACTTACTTTATAGAATTATATAACCTCTACATAAGAGTAAATTATAACCAAATAATATAATACAACAACTTTAACACTAAAATGGGAAGCTTTTTGATATCATTAAGAATTTTAACTAGATCCAATAGGATTATAGTAATATTTTAATGCGAAGATCCATTTACAACCTCAACAGTGACTATTAACAACCGAATGAGAAGGCATTAACAACCTGTATTAGTTAACAACTTACTTTATATAATATATAACCTCTACATAAGAGTAAATTATAACCAAAATATAGTATAATACAACAACTTTAATACTAAAATGGAAGCTTTTTGATATCATTAAGAATTTTAACTAAACCCAATAGGATTATAGCAACATTTTAATGCGAAGATCCATTTACAACCCCAATGGTGAGTATTAATAACCCAAAGAGAGCTGTTGACAATCTAGGCAGTATCTATTAACAATTGACTTTATAGGATAATATAACCTCTAACAACTATATAAGATTAACTTTAAGACTATTTAGTTATAGTTTAGTTAGTTATAGTTAGAAGTTATATTATCCGATAAAGTTAGTTGTTAACAGACACTGCTAAGGTTGTTAACAATTCTCCTTAGGTTATTAATACTTACTGTTGAGGTTGTAAATGGATTTCGCATTAAAATGTTGCTATAATCCTATTGGGTTTGGTTAAAATTCTTAATGATATCAAAAAGCTTCCCATTTTAGTGTTAAAGTTGTTGTATTATACTATTTGGTTATAATTTACTCTTACGCGGAGGTTATATAATTCTATAAAGTAAGTTGTTAACGGATAGTGCTTAGGTTGTTAATGCCTTCTCATTCGGTTGTTAATAGTCGCTATTGAGGTTGTAAATGGATCTTCGCATTAAAATATTACTATAATCCTATTGGATCTAGTTAAAATTCTTAATGATATCAAAAAGCTTCCCATTTTAGTGTTAAAGTTGTTGTATTATACTATTTGGTTATAATTTACTCTTATGCAGAGGTTATATAATTCTATAAAGTAAGTTGTTAACGGCTACTGCTTAGGTTGTTAATGCCCTCTCATTCGGTTGTTAATAATCGCTGTTGAGATTGTAAATGGATATTCGCATTAAAATATTACTATAATCCTATTGGATCTAGTTAAAATTCTTAATAATATCAAAAACTTTTCATTTTAGTGTTAAAGTTGTTGTATTATATTATTTGGTTATAATTTACTCTTATGTAGAGGTTATATAATTCTATAAAGTAAGTTGTTAACGGATACTGCTAGGGTTGTTAACGCCCTCTCATTAGGTTGTTAATAGTCGCTGCTGAGGTTGTAAATTGTAATGACAGAGCAAATATGAATCTGGAATATGAGGGGCAGTAATGTCATTTTACAAAACAAAAATATTACTCTAAGGTCCCTTGGGACCTGTCAGTGATTTTGACATTTCGTGGGACCTCAGAGTAATAAATTGCCTTCTGTGGGACCTGTTAGTGATTTTCCCCCAACATTATAAGCCTATTTTGTCCTTGACTATAGATGCCATGTTATCCTTCAGGGTTTGTTCTCTCTCAAAGAATTTGATAAGAGACGTCTCTTGTCGATGGATTCCTAAAGAAATGAATTTGGTAACTGTCTTGATCGCCAAAGCCTTGTTGGGTGGCCTTGCTCGACGGAACACGTGTTGCAACCTCCTCTTCAGATGCACACTAGTGCATGCTTTCGCAGTTTTCCTTGTTTGATTTTCACTGTTTTTTTTTTTTTGTCTTTTGTTAATGCATATTATAATGTTAATCATATGATCTTGTTTGTAATTTACATGCCATGTCTTATAAATAAGACTAAAAATAGTACTATCTTTATATTTGCCTGTTTCTTTTTTTTTTTCCTGGTTGTTTTTATTTTTTTACTTAGCCATTCTATGTAGATTTCGCTTTATTTGTGGTTCAATGAAGTCCCTTGTTGATTAAAAAATATACATATATCTCACTAACGTGGCACATATATCAATAATACTGATTTGTGTCTATAATTTTTTTTTTGGGAAAAAATTCCCCTTCTAC